GTTAGATTGCATGTAAAGACGGAAGTAATTTTTGAGAGCAGGGGTTTGGCTATCACTAAGAGGCTTAGTGGATGAGAATTATAGTAGCTAAGGTGTCAGGTGGCACAACGTATTAAAACTTCTTTCAGTTCTAGAAAGAAGGGGAAAGAAGCAAAAAGGATCTAGATTATAGTGTTAGAATTTAAGGATGGTTTTCACACAGTGATTTTTTTTTATTTTAAGAGAAATCTTTCTCATATTACCTAATACTGTAGGGCATATATATCTTGTTACATTTTGCCCATCGTTTGTTCTTCTTCTCTATGTCTTTATGTCTCTGTATCCCTAACTCTCTGCTGGGGATTAAACCAAGGGTCTCGCACATACTAGGCAAACATCCTATTCCTGAACTATATCTCCAGCCAGCCCACTTGCCTTAACTTTTAACATTTTAGAATGCTGGAGCAGAATCTTTAAGTTTTATACAATTTCAGCCAAGTTTTATTTTAAGAAGACTAAGCCTAGATTATGTTAAAAATTTACATAAGTAACTATTTTAAAAGCAATAGTCTCCTCTGTCCCTACTTATAATTATTTGAGAGAAGCATTTAACCAAAAGAAAATAATTGCACAAAGAATTTGGTATGGCATCTGTACAAAAAGCCAAGCAAGAGTCCACCTCTGGGCAGCACATCCGAACAATGACTCACAATAACACAGAACACAGAAACATTTTAAAGTACAGCAAGTGGATGGTGCGGCTCCTAGCAGAGAAAAGAAAGTCCCCCCTTAGTTCTGTATACACCACATACATGCAACACTGCACAGGACACAGTAGTGGAATGAGTAAGGATGACAGATTGAGAAGCCAGGCTACCACAAAATGTCACCAAGTATTTAACATTTTAAGACTACACAAAGAGTCTCTTTATTTTCAAAGGAAGGGAGTGAGGGGTAGAGTCACATTATAAATCTGATTCACTGTGCTCAACAGTCAAAACAACACAGAACTCAACATTCAAGACAAAAACAGACCTTTATTTTCTTTTATAGTTTTCAATTGGTTTCCTTGGTTTTTCTCAGATGAATATCAATTAAGTCTACAGGGCTACTGTTGCAACTGAGAACATGAAAGCACCTTTCTTTTCTTCTGTTTGTTCTCTTCTTCTTCATCTCCTTCACATTTCCCTCCAGGGTTTTCTCTTCTCAAACTTTGCTTTTTCTTCTCTTGGAAGAACTTGCTTTGGAAGATGAGGCAAACACTCGGTGAGGCCTGCTTCCCAACTGAATTTCTTTCAATGTGCCAGCTCAGTCATTGGAAGACTGGCTAAAAACCAGCTCTTTTGCAATTTGAGTGAATGTTTCTGAAAATTGGCAAAGTGTAGAACACATTCAAATAAAAGGAAATATATAGGAACCTTCTGTGATTCCCACTGAGGAAGTGTATCACTGCTGCAATGACATTTTAATTGGCATCTAATTTATTCACGAAATCTGGATCTATGAAGGAATAAAATTTCCCCCAAATTGTATTTACATTTGCAGCAGATAAATTAGGTCTGTGTCAGGTACTCATCAAAAAAGTTTCATTTTCCTAAAGGAGAAAGGGTGTATAAAGTCCCTTTTCTTATATAAAATTTAATTAACTGGTGGATTTGAAGGTCAAAATTGAACAATTAATTTGTATTCTGTGTCAGGGGATGATCATTTCTGGTTGTGCCACACTTGGCAGGAGTGAAAAAAAGATATTCTTTGATGTCATTCATATATATATGAATATGCTATTAGGAATCCAGGAACACAGTGAATATCACAATAATAGTTCATTGGTCTTCTGCAGGTTACATATGATCGCCCGGTAGTAAAAAGAATAAAGAAAAGCTCAAACAAAAGATTACCTAATGAAAAATACTAGTTTGTTGTAATGTCTTGAAACAACTTATAAGCAGATCATAATGTATTTCTCAATTCTCCAAAACTTTTGGTTAATATATTCTATGCATTTCGGCTCAGTAATTTCTAACTTTTCTTGACTCTACACACTTACAGGCTAAAACATGTTTGTTGTTCATAATTTACACACATTTATTAGTCTATATTAGTCTACGCTATAAATATAGGCAAAAAAATGATGCTGAAAAGGATGGGATACAAAACTCATGAGGAAATTTCCAGTATTTTCTTCCCGTATGCTAGTGGATTCTCCTTCAAAGGTCTATATTGCGACTTTCCTCTCAGGGAAATTTGTGTTACTCACATTTGCATTTCCCATTCTCTATCTGCCATAATGCCTCAGGCTCTCAACAAATTCAAATGGAGTAATAGATGTCTCTATAAATAAGATGTTCCAAAGAAGATTGCCTATTAGGTGACTGTGTAATGACTGAAAAGTAATTGGTTAATACTGTTCATGCTTCTGTGATGAAAACTAAGGACACTGAAATCTCATTCTTGTCTTCCCATACTCCCTGGCACTGTAATGACGCTGCTAAAGCAGAGTAAAAGGTGGAAACAAAACCAAGAATTGGGCTCTGAAGCAAACAACGGGAAATGGAGTCTTGGTACATGTTTTGGAAGAGAATTCTGTTCTTTTAAAATTGGACAATGATATCCTCATAGAAACAGTTGTTCTTTCTACAACACAGCTGTGCAATGAGCTCCAAGGTTGGGAAAGGTTAAGTTACAAATGGTAGAGAAGGCTAGACATAGTAGTAGTAGTCATCAACCACATCTGAGTGGCATCTCTTCTTATGCAACCAGAAAGCACTTTAAGGCTTCCAGGCTAATCATATCAAGTACGTGGAACACTATTTTTGTCCCAAAGGGCAACTGTCATTTTCACTGAGACCACAGAATCATTTTTATGAATACTAATTTATTATCATGTCACAGAGAACAACTTATTTATATATAAGGTGACAGACTTTTAGTGGATTTGTTATCTTTGTAGGGTTTATACTAAATAAGCAGGGGTTTGCACTACAACTGGAACTGTTTTATAGTTAAGCACTAGCGATTTTAATTCATGCCTTTATATCAATCAATGTGCTATGCCTTGATTTGTAAAACTTGGGAGGAGGGGAAGGCAGCTTGTTATATTAGAAGAAAGCAAAGATTTTACAAGCTAGCTTTTAGTTTTTCCTTTGTAGCCAATTATTTATTTAAAAACTGGAAATAATTTTTCTTTTAGGAAAAGTAACAATATTCCAACATTAATATTAGGCAACAGTTTCTCGGGTGGAAAAATGGATTTTAATGAGCAAAATCCCCTTCACTGAGAGGAACAAGTGATTGGATCTACCTATATTGCTAGGGTTTTCTTTTCTTCTCTTTTTAGATCAGGCAAAGCCCGTACTTATAAGTTAACTATGTTCAGAGGCTATAAGTGTCAGTTCTTCTCCAATTTGCAATTTTTGTAAAATTATGTAGTTTAATAATAACTATATGACAGTGCCGTATTATCAGGGTACAAGAGGTTTTTTTTTTTTTTTAAAGATTTATTTATTTATTATGTATACAACATTCCTTCCATGTATGTTTGTATGCCAGAAGAGGGCACCAGATCTCTTTATAGATGGTTGTGAGCCACCATGTGGTTGCTGGGAATTGAACTCAGGACCTCTGGAAGAGCAGTCAGTGCTCTTAACCTCTGAGCCATCTCTCCAGCCCCCGGTTTTTTTTAATGATGAATATTTCAAATGGCAGAATGTCAGCATCTTTAATACTAATTTACTAATCCCTAAGAAGGAATGGCTGTTTGAAAGAAAAACATAGAAATTAATGTCAGAATCCAAATTTACCCACATAGTTTAAATATGTAACCAGTTAAAATGGAAGTTTAAGGCAGAAATTCATAATAGTGACAGCTTCAAAGTAAAGCTAAGGGATATTTTATTTGAAAATTAATACACAGTCACTACACTCATTAATGAGGAAAACCACCTAGAATTCTTCAAATCATAAAGTTTTACTATAATATCAACAGTGAGAATGACCCAAGAGAATTTCATTACTATTAAATGCCAATAAAATAAATTTGACTTATTTCCATGAACCAAGAACCACCATTCTTTAGATATACTTAAAAACACATGAAATGGTTAGAGCACAAAGGCAATTATAAGGCAGATCCATGTGATTTTGATTCACAACACAAACTTCATTTGTGAGAAAGAAGCATAGATTTCTTCTCACTGGAAAAATACTTGCTATCAAGCATACTTAGCAAATATTCAGCTATCTAGAAAGATCTGGTACCAACTGGTAATATTTTTATTTTAAGTAATTTAATATTTTAACAGGTATTCATATTAAGCAATACCACACACTGCAGCAACAGGAAGAAAAACATTTCATAATACAATATTAAATTATTTTTCACTGCACAGTATGAAATATCCAATAATTAGCATTGAAATCATTACAGTGTATCTTATCCAACTAAAGGAAATTTCACATCTACCACAGAAGAAAAATAAGCAATAATGAGCCACAGGGGACCCAGTTACATAGTATTAAATAATATCTGAAGCTTGTTTGAAAGACATCCAGACAAAATATTTTTTCAAATATGGAAAACCATAGCCTACAGATTTGGATTATTTTACAGAAAAAGGATAGCTCATTCCAGTTTAAGAGGCAACATCACTTCTATTTAAGTGCCAAGACAAAGGAGAAAGTTAGGATTTTAGCTAAGGAATTGAATAAAGCCTGGCATGAGGAATTTCCTTCATTACTGTCACTGAAAGCAGTCTGCCTTACACCTGAATATGCTTTAATAATAGAATAAACATATTAAGTTTCAGAGCAGGGTGTGTACACCTTGCCTTAATAGATTAACACTTAATTTAGTACAATACAGCATGTCAAGATTTAAAAATGCAAATACACTTAACACAGAATTTGCTTCCACTGCTTTGCCTTAACCAGGCCACCAAGAGTCCATTAAACAGCATTTTCTAATTATCGGTGCTGATCCCTCTCTTCCTGGTGTCAGGCGAACACAACTGAGGTGCCACCATAGAGCCCTTCCCCAGGCAAGACCCTTTACCCTCTGTTCACCCATAGACAGGGCAGTTTTCGGCTACTGTGTTCCATCTTGATTGGTTTGATCTTATGCTAGTCCCACTGTAGAAAGCTCGAATTCTTCTTAAAGAGTGGCCTGCCCCTCATAATATCCCTTTAGGGAGGCCCCAAATCCACAACACTTGATGGTCTAAGCTTTTTACAAGTCTGTTTTCTGTTATAAACAGCAAGGACGAGGCCATTTTAGTTGCTTGCAAGAGGTTGATGTTGAGTCTGCGCCGTGCCGACTCTCTTCGATCTAAATTCTCTAAACATTAGCTTAGCAATCTGTGATTCCAATGGGTTGAGTGCCAACAGAAGTGGATCCGATTTGGCATGGAGAGGTTCTACCAACTCTCGTAGTGTATTAGCCTAATATAATAAAGCAGTGATACAATATGATGAAAGACTTGCGCGTGCCATTATTCCAAAGCACATCAGTATTTGTATTAGAAATACCACCATGCAGTACCCATGAAGAGAAAATAAGGTCTAGAATTGCATATGGTTTTAATACCATAATGTCTTTCTGTTGGCATGCAAGTCTACCTCGCCATAAATAGGACCAGTTTTGATTTAGTTTGTTTGGAACGCCAATCTTCCAGTTACATACAATAACTAACAGACACATCTTTCCCCACCTCTAACTTGTACATATATGTCTATAGTTTGAATCAGAAAAGCCAGCTAAAGTATTCTCCACATACGTGCAAAACCATCAGTCTTTTTTTTCAAATCAAAATGGATTTCTATATGTTTCCTCATTTTTACACAGTCTTAAGGTATGAAGGTTTTTTTTTTGTCTTCCTGCTGTGACATAAAAGCAACTGTTCTGATCCAGAGAAATTGCAATAGCCTAGCTAGCATTGTTCTGGTGAGGAGGCCCCAGACTAAATGATACCAAGTGAAAAAAAAAATGAAAAGTCACAACAAGAAGCATGACAAAAAGATGATTTTACATCTGAGCATTAGCCACACATCAAGGAGTTTATAAACTGGAAGAGAACAACACTTTTGAATGACTGGAAAAGCGGAGCAGAGTTCAGAAAAACTAACATCTCTCTTTGTTCATTTTATTTTTCATCTTCAGGAATCCAAATATTGTCGGTAGGTACACATTGGCAATATTTGTCATCACTAGTATAAGGCAGAATTTTGTCTGCCGCACCCTATCATATTTTTGGTTATATCCCCAGAAGAAACAAGGAGGGAGAAGGATCAGAGAAAGCAATCTGTCTACTGCTACATTCCTTAGAAAATGGGAAGGGGAATAACTGGTGTGTAGAAAATGAAATAGAGTGTAGTTCAAAACCAGGAGAAGCACTTATCTATCACATCATACACTGTTTATAAAAGGGGCTGAGAGCTAAGTAATTTTTTTATGTAGGTCAAGTGAAATAACAAACAACACCTCATCATTAAAAGATTATCATCCTGGAAATATGTCTCTAGGTTCTACCACTGTTTGATAAGGGTATGGGATTTCAGAATGGAAAATCAGAGGCAATCTAACCTGAGTCATAAAGTCTTATCTCAATTTAAACTGTCCTTAATTTTCTATGTAATTAAAATATTTTATAAGTTGTTTTAGACACATTCATCATTTTTGTAGAGATAATATTACATGAATACTTTCATTTCTAGTATATTCCTTAATGCACATTTAACTAGAGCCCTGGTAATCAAGTGGGGTTTAATTACACTTACAGTATTGCTTCTATAAGATTACTGAATTTTATTATAAGAGATTTGAAAATATCTCTCCAGTTTAGTCCCTTGTCTGAGTATAAGATTGTGGTGAAGAATCACTATTTCAAAATGGTGAGCACTCTTTACCAACCTGTTAATGTTAGCACAAAAAAGGTAACTCCTTAAGAAAAAGATATCTCTCCAACTATTTGTGATTAAGTACCACTGACTAGAGACTCTTAAGGATGGAGGTATTTGTTAAACATAAATTTCTAGGTGCCACTTCTTACATACTGGATCAGGATGTCTGAGGACAGAACTCTGGAATTCTCAGTTTATACAAGTAATGATTCTTTTGCCCATTGTAGTTTGAAATCTGCACTGGCAAGGGCTACTCAGTGGGTAGGATTCACTATCCTGTATACACCAGTAGTTTCTAAGTCATTAGCCTGTAGGTAGGGATGTTATATAGCATTTAATTGCACCCCTTCCATCAGTGGAACACTATCACTCAGCTAATACAAGTTCAAGGTTTTTGTTGAAGAATGTGTTGGAAATATCTTGGAGTCCTGAAGTCAGGAAAGTTAGGAAAAAACTTGATGAACTGCTTGAATATATTCTTGAAAGATAAAATTTTATGTTGAGTTAAATTTTTTTTGTTTTTTTTTTAAATATTTATTTATTTTTTATATTCTTTCTGCGTGTATGCCTGAAGGCCAGAAGAGGGCACCAGACCTCATTCCAGATGGTTGTGAGCCACCATGTGGTTGCTGGGAATTGAACTCAAGACCTTTGGAAGAGCAGGCAATGCTCTTAACTGCTGAGCCATCTCTCCAGCCCCATAAATATTTCCTTTTTTTTTTTTTTGGTTTTTCGAAACAGGGTTTCTCTGTGGTTTTGGAGCCTGTCCTGGAACTAGCTCTTGTAGACCAATCTGGTCTTGAACTCACAGAGATCCGCCTGCTTCTGCCTCCCAAGGCCTAGGAAATATTTCCTATTTTTGAGGCAAATAGAACAACTATAAGGATATTCTTAGACTAAGTCCAATTGAATCAACTGTATGGTTAGGTACTACAAGCCAGGCCAAACACTGGTAAAGGCACAAAGGGCTCAAGGTGCATGCCTCATTGACAAGAGTTTTATGCAAACACAAACAAACCCATTTTTGAAGTGAGACTATTCTATATGTTTATCGTTTGCTTCTGAGAGACTCGCCCTTCTGTGCCTTTCTGCAAGTCTCTTTCAGATTCTCAACAGTCCACTGTGAGAATGCAAACTATTTTGAGAAATATATGTCCTTTTATCCTTTTTTTATGAGTTTAAAAATGACTCCACTAAGGACTACTCAAATAATAAGCAAAAATATAAATTCTGAAAACACAAATTTTAGGAACATTAAAAACATACCCACTTGGAAGAGTTGATTTCAATCAGATGTTTGAGGCTACATTAGAGTGGTTAATGTTGAAGTCATAAACATTTGTATGAGAATGACTATGACTAAATTTGAATACTAAGCAGGTACAAACATTTTCTTGTTGAATGAGAGCAAACTGCTTGAAACTGGAACTATGTACTTAAAGCAAATGAGCACTTAGGAATAGTCTCACTTTAGTTTGAATTCCAAAAGAAAACTTTCCTATTTATCTGCTTTCATTCCGAGTAAACTTGAGGGCAAGTCCAGGAGCGAAAGCTCCAACAAATAGTCACAGACTGCTTGCATATAGTGAAGGCCGCTGAGAACAGATGACCAAGCCTAGCAGGGACAACATAGGAGCGTCAGAGAGAATTACTTGGGTTTTAGAAGTTTAGTTAACATACTTATCTGAAGTCTTCATTTTTCTCTAAGTATATAAATATCCAGATTTGAGTTTTTCTTAAAGTATAAGTAATAACTACTTTCATCAACATAAGCATCTGAAGGAATGGACCTGTGACTTGAGCACCTACTTTCTTCTAAAAGGTTGAATTAAGAGTAGAAGCTTTCATTGTTTGCTATTCGGTTATTAGAATGGAAAGCAAGAGGAATAAATTTTTACATGTACATGTTGTGGAGCAAAGATAAAATGGGTGTATGTGTGTTTATGTGTGTCTGTGTATACACAAATGTGATTCCTCCATTATAGTTCATTACTATTTTCTAATATTTTAGTTGAGTGATGCAGAGACAGCTCATATATTTCATCTGACAATATTATTAATAAAATAACCACATTAACCTCTACCAAGACGGCCTTTTTCCTGGTGAAGTTTTCTTTCAGAAGTATTAATGGGTGTCTAGTGACTAGATTATGAGATATGAACACACTACAAGAAAAACAAAACTTTTGCAATACGTCCTTGATATGAACAATGTATGTTTTTAATATATGAGAGTTTAAACTTTACTATGAGTTTATGTATTTATAAACCGAAGTAATTAGATCACCTGATGATCAGTGTGAAAGTAATTCAGTGATGAGACTGGACAATATGGTGAAGACATAAGTCACCAAGCACCTTATGATTACGTATGACTTTGCCACAAATGGAAAAAGACCCCAACAAATTGGAATTAACAATATTTAAGTTTCTTTCTAAATCATTTCATTCTATAGGTTCTCTTTTCCTCCTTCTAATCACACTACATTTAAAAAAAAACCCATAAGTACTTTGAAAGGCAGTTTTTTCTGACCTGAACTTTGAGCCACTTAAGTGATCAGGTAATAAAAATGTTTTTAAAATACTGATTTATTGATTATATTTTTATCTTAGAAGCTACTGAATATGGATGGACATCTTACTTGACTTAAATTCTCCAAACTGAAAATTCTCATAGGATAATAGCTAAGAGAAAGTAGGGGAGCTGGGGTTCTGAAGATAAATTTTGTGTGTCTTCCTTTTATCTCCTTTGGCAAATTTGCTGATCAATTAACTTGAACTTTGCTCAGTAAATGTTAAGGCTGTTGTAAGGATACTTTTACTGCCCATTTTTATTAGGTGCAGTCAGTGGCCAAACTTCCCAATTATTCAAAATATAATCTAAAAATAAATGAACATATCCAAATCAACAATATCTTTGCAAGCAATATCTAATGGATATACCTTATAGGATGGGCTATATTTCTAGGCTCTCCTTGATCACCTCTGTGGTACAAGGTTTGTATTCAGGGCCTCATGAATGGTGAATATGTGGTCTACCTCTGAACTACCTCCGCAGCCCTACTCCACTCTATTCTTCCTCTCGTATTGAAATTTTAAACTATCCTAAAAGTTCTGCCATTATCATATGGGAAGAGCACTATTATTTTTAAAGAATGTCATTCAGTATCAGACCCAGGAGCATATTATTCCAGGAAAGCAAATGAGGGGGGGAAGTGATATAGGAGGGTCACCTGTCTATGTGTTGCTTTCATTGGTTAATAAAAAAACTGCCTTGGCCTTTTGATAGGACAGCCCTTAGGTGGGTGGAGTAGACAGAACAGAATGCTGGGAGGAAGAAAGCAGAGTCAGGCAAGTGCCATGAAGCTCCGGTCCAAGATAGACATGGGTTAGAATCTTTTCTGGTAAATTACCATCTCGTGGTGCTACACGGATTACTAAATATGGGTTAAAGCAAGATGTGAGAATTAGCCAATAAGAGGCTGGAACTAATGGGCCAGGCAGTGTTTAAATGAATACAGTTTCCGTGTAATTATTCTGGG